CAAGGCTGGCAAAGCAACTGCAACATATGGTCCAATATGAATTAATTTCCTTCATAAGCTCCTTGATATGAAAATTAATTTTTCTGTAACAATCACAAATACTGTAGTCCCTTCAGTCACTTCAGTTTAATGGAATTGCTCACCTCACAAATAATTTTGAAAACATGCTGAATTGCCTTAGGGATAATGCCCACTGAATCTTCCTTTCCCATCATTGTATATGTCTTTCCTGAAGCAGTCTGTCCATAAGCAAAAATTGTGCCTAGAAAGATGGTAAAATTTTACTAGTTACTTGCAAAATACATTACAGACAGAATTTAAACACAGTTTTAAAACTTACCGTTATAACCTTGCACAGCTGACTGTATAATTGGAACAGCTACACCTTCATATAACTGCTGAGTGTTGTCACTTGAGTGAAAGACACGATCTTAGAAAAAAAAATAAAGCATGTAAATCCATTGTATTGCAAGTCAAAACCAAGCTGTCATCTTACTCAGTATTGCTGACTTCAAATCCAATAAATGGGCATGAGATTGTTTGTAGGATAATTCAAACATAAAGGGTAATTGTCACACTACTAGTACAGGCTTTTTTTTTTTTTAAAAAAAAGAAATATTAAACCCAGAACCAAGAAGGATAAGATGAACAGACAAGTCAAAAAACTTAAGAACAATGGACAGAGTTAAATAGTCATTCTGTTTAATTCTAAAACCAGTTATGGCTAGTTTATCTATGGGGATCGTAAGCCTGACAAGACAGGCTACTTGTTAAACTCCTAGCTCAGAGCATGCTTTTATTGAATCTATAACTTGGGAAAAATCTTTGTAGTGGCTACGTTTGTATTAACAAGTAGAGTGGATCAGTAGGAAGAGACTCAAAGTGAGGCAGTTAGTTATGAGGATCTAACATCCACACTAAGCACTTTTCAGTTTTGGGTTTCCCCATCCCCTTTTCCCTAAATGCTCTGGACAAGCCCTAGCCTAGTCCATTTATAACTGGAATTCATACGAAAAGAAACCAGCTCATGTTTCAAAAATCACTGTACAGTATGAACCAGAACAGAGAAAGCAATATGCATCGGGCATCTGACTACAAAAACACATTCCTGGTACTGACTAAAACCCAAATCCTGTGGGCCTCAATGGCACTAATTCAAAAGTATTAAGTCAGAAAAAAAGTTCAGGGACCTTGCAAAAAGCTAAGGTCGTTGACGTTAGCAAACATTCAAGTCATACCGTAACGAAGGTTCACGTAAGCTTCAAAGTAATCGCTTTCATATCCTTACCATAACTGAATATCCTTGTACCATTCACTTCAGAGATGGTATTATTTTCACTTTTCCAGTGGAGTGACGCTTTATCTTCTAGAGCATTTTCTCTAAAAGAAGAGGTGTTCTGTGAACTTTATTAGGTTAGGACTCTGCTCCTATACGCGGGTCTACGCCTGACCGCGAGCACCCCTCTCCCCCAGGGCCTCGCCAGCCCTGTTCGTTCCGGCCGTCTCCTTCCCCCACGGGGACGGACGCCGCACTTATGCCCCCTCCTCCCCCTCTTCGTAGGGCGGTAGCGGGGGCTCCCGGGAGCCCAGCTGAAGGCGAGAGGGGTACAGCAACACCCAGGGAAGCCGAGGGACCCCGAGGCCGCGAGCAGCGCTGCAGCCTCCGCTCCGGCCGGGGGCTC